GAAATATTAAAGCAAATAAAAAAGGAACTATTTAAAAAATATGGAGGAAGTTAAAAAAAAAAATTAGAGAATTACACTAGATAAAGAGAAGTTAGTTACAGCTATAGTAAGTCTAGCACTTTATTATTATAGAATTAATTTGTTCAAACTGACCTGTTATTAATTTTTCCACTTAACTCAGCCTTAACTTCCATAGCTATGGGTTGTACCTCTTACCTCAAAATAATTTTGAGCAATTGATATTAATTAAAATTAGTTTTTAGAAATTGACACTGTCACTCCAACCTCTTTTCACAATTGAATAATCAGCAAAATTATCCTTAAAGCTTTTCCCCACCTTACGGTGGACTCTTTCTTCTCGGTCTCTTAATTTAAGGAACTTGATGTAATTTGGTTGGGTCAGCCATAACTTGAACAGCAGTTCACTTCTGTAGGATATCTTCTATTTAACTCCTGGTTCTGGATGCAATCCTTAAATTACTCTACTTTCTTTGTCAAGAACCTCCTTGAAGAGCTGGTCTTAGGAGATTATAACTGATAAGCATTTCCCTTACAGTGTCAGACTATGGACCTGTATTTTCTACAATCTTATCCTTCCCTAATGTCCATTTGGATCACTAAAGCCGAAAGTTCATATTTGACTGAATCGCCAATCTCAATCTCGTCTTGTACTAACCATTTTAATAGACTTAAATATATTATAAAAAATATAAATATATTTTAAAATGTGTAAACTGTTACCTAAGCATGGCTCCTAAGATTGCATAAAATATTTTTCACACCATTCTAATGTAGCAGCTGTAATGTTTCTCTAGCTTGATGGGGCAAATGTTTTTTAAACCGAGCGATAATTTTCTTAATAAATGGTTTGAAATTGAAAAGAATAATCACTGTGTAACCAGTACACCATTTACAGAGAGAGATTATAGCATCATTTCTCAACAATATAAAAAATCTTTCTGAATAATGGTACAAGTTTATCATTGGCTGAATATTTTTTTTTTTTGCCTCAACCTTGTCAAAGCAAGTCCTATTTTGCTAGTGTATTATTATGCTTCTTAAGTTGTTACTAGCTACTTGTTGAAATTGATTCTGAAATGCAAATATTTTATGTGAAATTTATGATTATATTAAATCTTAAAATTCTATATTGATGATCATAAATTTTGTAATGGCTAAATTAACTTGGACTTGTAACTGGAACTAATACAGTAATTTAATAGTTTTATAGACTTACAGGAATTTTATTAATATTACTTTTTATTAATATTTTATTAACTTACGTTATTATTATGTTTTATTTAACTCAAGTTTAGAAATTTTAAAAAAGCATAAGAATACTTATGCCATTGGAAAGGAGGAAGATTTTTATGATAAAAAGAAATGGCTTCATGGATTAGGTTACGACATATGACTTAAAGTGTTGTAAATAAAGTCATTTATATATATATATAAGAGCATAAGGGACTTAAATAGGTGCATTTATCTTCTTTAAGAATTGTCCTAATCTATGAGCATTATCATTTTTGGTTGATCTAAGATAACTAATATTATCATTGACCGCTTGCGACCCTAAACTTATCCTCCTTCGTTCATCGAATCTCTTGCATTGGAAGGTAATGTGCTTTAGATCTTCCAGGCATTGGTATGTTGGGCATTTACCGCTCTTAGCTAGACCCATTACATGTAAAAATTTAAGTGTCGCAAACCATGGAGTCAAGGCTATCTTCATGTACCTCTTTCGCTGTTTGTCTTGTCTCTGCAGCTTAGTCAGCAGCCTCATTTCTAGACAATCCTGCGTGGTTTGGTATCCCCTGAAATATGTAGTGGATGTTGCCTGATATTATGTTATTAATTATTTCAAATGTTAAATTTGATGTAATTTTTTTGTTATGGACTGATTTTAGTAGTATACAAGAAGTGATCGAGTCTGTGAAAATAACTATATTAGTGTTTGAATATGTATGTCGACAATAAATAGTGATTTTTAAGATTGTAAAAAGTTCAACACTAAAAATGCTAAAGTTGACTGGTATGGAAAACATAATTATATGTTATTTCGCTGGATTTATTACTGCTATTTCTGTTTGTTTGTAGGATTTGGAGGCATTTTATCTTTACTTTACTCAGGTCGGAGTAATGCGCATCTATTTCCTGAATATTGAGTTCGAGAGCAATTGTTTTAATATTTTAGGGTCGCATGACGATTAATAACCATGAACTGTATTTAGCTTGAAATTACTTTCAAATTGTATCATTTTACTGGGCAAAAGTGTGTTGAGTTCTAAGGGGACTGTTTATGGTAGTGCTCTTTAGAATATATTTCTTCGTCAGCCACTTTCTTCTTAAGGTTAGTGGCATCTCTTCTGCTTCAGCTAACAGTGCATTTGTTGGTGCGGTTTTAAAAGTCGCTAATTATATTTTGATTGCTAAATTTTGCATGGTATTTAAGCTGTTAATCATTGGACATTTTGTTTCATTATAAATCATGCATTAGTCCGGAACATGTTATTGTCCAACATGATTGATATATCATGTTTTGGGGATCATATATAGAGGAAATGAAGAACAGGTTTTAGGGATCAGGCAGAGAAAGGAAATAAAGAATAGGTTATAGGAACCAGGTAGAGGAAATGAAGAATAGGTTGTAGGAACCAAGTATAGAGGAAATGAAGAATAGGTTATAGGAATCAGGTAGAGGGAGGAAATAAAGAATAGATTATAGGAATAAATAGAGAGGAAATGAAGAATAGGTTATAGGAATCAGCCAGAGAAAGGCAATAAAGAATATGTTATAGGAACCAAATAGGGAGAGGAAATGAACAATAGGTTAAAGGAACCAAGTATAGTTTATAGGAACCAGATAGAAGGAGGAAATAATACAGGGATTATAGAAAGAAGTAGAAAGGAAATAAAGAACAGGTTACAGGAACCAGGTAAAGACAGTAGATAAAGGATAGGTTATAGGAACAACTTGAGTGATAATATATAATGATGCATTACATAAATGATGTTATTCATCTGAATTTTTTTGTTCCAGTTGATTTGTTGAAGAAACAATGGAACTTCCTAAAAAATCAATTCAAGAAAGAATTGATTAAGCTTTCCACCTCAGGCGGGTCAAGTGATGACGGTGAAAGACAGGTTTCGACTTGGCAATACTTCAATCAGTTGTCATTTTTGAAGGAAGAATTGGATAAACAGTCACGCGATTTATTGACGTCAACTATAAGAGAATCATTAGTCTCATGTGATTTACCCGAGGAGCCTATAATGACAGAAAATTTATTTTCGTTCCACAATTTGCCTCACAATTACCAAAGAGATACCAATGAAACTAGGAGCGTTTCGACTTCTGTCCAAGACTTAGAAGATAACAACTCAACTTTGCCACTTTCAATGCCCCCGAAGACGAGAATGTCCGTCAATTCCGAACCCAACAACTGTATGAAGGCTGAATATACAAAATCTCAGATAATGATGACAGAGCTGTGCAGAGACAACGATGAGGACTCTTATTACCTCATGAGCATATTGCCAACGATGAAGAAACTTACAAATCTTCAAAAGATGAAGTTCCGATCAAAGGTTGATGACTTCCTGCTTGAAGCTATCAGTGCGAATGAATATTCCTCCTACATGAACGACTTCAGTCCTACCAACTCTTTACCGGCTCAAGACAACAAGAAGAGAAAATGTAGAAAAACTTCTATATAATATCTCGTAATTTAGTTGTGTACCTTACAAATAATAAATAAAATTCTGATGTAAACATGTTTGATGCATGGCAATCTTTGTTGAAGGAAACAGGGCAGTACAATCTATTGTTGAATTAGTTGTCGTTAATTTTTGGTAGCTAAAGTTAATTAGTTTAAGTTGTCACCATATCCAATTTATAAATAACAGACAATTCATATGTAATACAATTATACTATTAAATTCTAGTAAATATCTTTAAAAATTGTTTATTTATCACATATAATGTTGGAACTAATTAGCGGTTTAGCTAAACCTTAGTTAACTAAAAATTAGTCAGCTGGTGCCCAACTCTTCTTTAAAGTTCTTCAGATTCATTTTTTTTTTTTTTTTTTTTGGTATTAATGGTAATTAATTATTTAAATAAATATGTACCAGCTGGAATTTTCCATTCACTACCTATAAATGGAAATAGCCATTTCTACTCAAAATAGGATGGTAATTGCAGTAGGTTGCCTTATCCATCCACCTCAACATATTTTTATTTTAGTGTTTTGCCTCGAAAAAGGAGTAACTCCATTAATTGAATTTTTTGAGTAACAAAATATTAAAAAATAACATTTTTTTTTAGCTTATTCCTCTCCATACTATAAATAACTTAACTTCTCAATTCTTACCTTTTTTGAATATTATTTTATAATTCTTGTTAGTCATAAGAATAACATTTAACATTCTCATTGATTACCTAATGTCTATAAAACAATAAAGGATTTGTTAATAAATAATGCTACAGTAAATGGTAAATCAAATTATTTATTAATATACTTAATTAAATGCATTTATTTGGATGAAAGGTATAAACAATAAAGATAATACTGTACAAAAATCACTTATGTACTAGCTACGACCAAATCAATATTACAGACACAGACATGTTAATATTTCACATGTCAATAGTTTCAAAATGAAAGAGCGCATAGTTATAAAAATCCAAATATCCAATATCTATATTGATAAGCTCCATTTTGTATAAAAAATATTTTCAAAATGAAATCAACAATAAGCCGTTCCATCAGTTGTAACTTTATAGTTAACATTGTGCAAGCTCGGCCAAAAAAGTAAATTTTCACTTAATAAACACAACATTCATTTCCCAAACATCGATATAAGTCTTATAAGTATAGTTTAAATGGCTAAGGAATATGCCATCTTTACATTTACACAATATATATATTTATATATATATTGAATAATATATGATAACAAAAAATCTATTTATCGATCAAGTATATTTGAGTTGGAGATTACTGATTTATAGTAATTGAAACAGAGTCGATAGAAAGTGGTTCTGGAATTGGAGGAAGGCTGTCCATGGCACGACCTGGGCTATCGGGCGACTGGAAAAACAAGTTGCGCAATGTCGACACCGTCCTAGTGACACACAATTGCATAAACATTATCATCAGCAGACATCAATAAACATCATTATCAATACATTAATAAATATTATTATCAACACATTAATAAACATTATTCTTATTCTTAGATCTTACTTACACACTAAAAATATATAGAATGGCACAATCAAAATTAATAATTCATAAATTGTTAAGATTTATTTGAAATATAAAGTCTCTTTTTTTTAATTCCTTAAACAGTTGAATTTATAAAAAAATTTGCAAAACTCCAAAATAAAAGTTTTTAGGAATGACCTCTTGGAAACATATATTTATGGTAGTACACATTAACCCTAGAATGACTCACTTAAATATTTTTTTAATCTTTTAACTCCCATAACAATTTATGGATTTCTTTAGGAGAAGAATACATCTTTTTGGTAGTTGCCATACTAAAAAAATAGTTTCTATACATTACTGTTTGAATTGGAAATACCACTCATTAACAAATATAACATTAGAAATCCACACCTGATTTATTTCAAGTTTCAAAATAACAAAGAAAACACTGAATACGAAATTTACAGAACAGTTGCATAGACAGCACACTGGGTTGTGGGAGACCCCATAATGACTTTTGATAACTCCCAATAATGACATAAGCCCAACAATGGAGTGCTAATGACTGTAATTAGCCTGGCTATATATGATGTTTATTTACATGAAAAAACTTGGCCAAAGAGCTACTTATATAAAAGTAAATTAATATTGTGGGGTGTCTCCATACCCCAGTGTGCCATTATAGGGTTAAAATATCTCTAATAGGAAAGGGTATTCATGATTAATTTTTTTAGCTTAAGTGACTCAATCCCCTAATAAATTGTATTATTGCTAAATAGCAATCTAAAATGAACTTCTCAAAGGCAAACCACAACACTATACACAGAGAGGCAAATAAAGTGGACACCCTTTAGTAACTGTATGGATACCCAATTAATTTACCATTAGTGCTTCCAAATAGGTCGCGTGAAACATTAGAAATATTAATTAATTAAACACAATCAGTATTTTATTTTTAAAAACCCACTACAGAAATAACTCCTACCTGTGCTAGGAAACAGGATATACTAACATATTTTCTTGAATGCATTGATAGCTGATAGATTATTAGTAAAGTTTATGTCGATAAATAGTGAATGTTGGCGTAATAGTAAGGTACGAATCTGGTTAAATTAAAGATATCCTCATTAAAGGACTACTGATCCGAAAGATGTTCAATGGGTTTTAGATCTGGGCAAGCCATCCAAGGATTGAAGAATTTTCTATAGGCATTCAATAGGGTGGACAGGGAGGCCGAGTGGGTTAACACGATGCACAGCACCATACGTTGCGCGGAAACCTCATAACCGAGAACCGATTAAAAAATTACGAGTTTGCGTCCCGGTGCCGAGAAGGGTTTTTAACTCTGGCATTTATCCCCTGGCCCAGGAAAATCCAGTATAGCCTAGAAGGCAAGGAAGGAGAGAAAAAAAAAGTATTCAATAGGGTTTAGATCTGGACAACATGCAAGAATTGAAGCATTTCCTAGTTTAACATTCTCCGGTCTGGTGACGGCGGACCGACCAAAGGAATCATCCCACCTTCCCACTCTGGTTAGAATAGGTTTGGTTGTACCTCTAGAACGACACCCTTTTTTCCCCTCTTGTTTTTTTAATAAATGAGGAGATTGATAAGTATCTATCAAGTAATTTTTTTTTCCAATATTCAACTTATCATTAGAATTTCCTTTTGTTACAAACAATTTGTAAAATTCTATAGAGCATAACACAAACAAAAACTATTCAAAAGACGGTTTTCTTGACAATATATAAAGATTAAATTAGATGAAATTATTACAAGATTAACCTTGAGGTTGATGTTGAAGGTATTTCTTCTGGCGGCAGTTGTTTCCTCTGAGCCTTATGGATTGACGAATCAGGATCGATGAAGCTGACGTGGCTGTCGAACCTCACGCGCTCTGATCCTCCATCTTCGGACGGTTCATGGCTTTGTAACTATACAAAAAAATATATATTTTGATAAACTGTGTATATGTGTAATAAATTGATTGGATCTTGAAAAACAATTAAATCAAATTGAATTGAACAATAAATATATTTGAGGAATCCAGAATAGTAAATTGAACAATAAATATATTTGAGGAATCCAGAATAGTAAATTGAACAATAAATATATTTGAGGAATCCAGAATAGTAAATTGAATAATAAATATAACATCTAATGAGATTGTAAGCAGGGAAGGACAACAGTTAGGTACCTCAATAGGCAGCAAACGTTGACGAATCAGGGTCAACGTACCCTTTTATTATATAGTTATGGTTCATTTTAAATTAATTATTGTTATTACTAACTCGATGATGATAGAAAGACATCTTATTCTCTAATTAATTAATGTACATATTTAACAGATTAAAACATAGCTTCAATTTTACCTTATAATTAAGAACCGATCCGGCTAGGGCTCGAGTAGAAGCTGCAGCATCGTCGCCGACGGACCTGTCAGAGAGGCTAGCGGTTGCAGAGGCAGTTTCACTGCTCATACTGAACCGCTGCGACGACACAACGTCAGCCTGGACTTCTAGTCTGGAACAGGAATAAATATTTTGAACTTATATTTTCAGAATATTGTGTTCAACCATTCACTATTCACTCCTTCCTATAACATGCTGAATATATAATTAGATTAAATTCGTAAATTTTTAAAGTTAAAACTTCTTTAGACAAGCTTTGCATTTTTTTTGTGGGTAGTGAATGAGACTCGTACATGTAATGCTCATTCGCTAAAGTCGCCTAATTTTATTATTATATATATATCTGTTTATTGAGAAATAATACATTTTTCCACACTTAAGGGCACTGAGTACTAAGGCTGAGTAAGGCACATTCATACCATATATACAATACCATAAAAAAAAAAAAAATAATAGATAATAAATAAATAAAAAAAAATATAAAAATCTATATAACAAAGGCAAAAACTATAATAAACCAAGGAAATGTAACTTAGAGTTAAAATTAAATGAAATACAGAAATTCGTAGCAAAATTAAATAAATTATAAGTAATAGAAATAAATAGAAAAGCATTCATACTTAAATACAATATTTACAATTAGGCAAGAGATCTCCGAGTCCAGGCCTTTCCCCCACGTGTGAAGGACAAAGTGAGACTCTAAGAGATCCCAGCGCTTCTCTCTCAACCTCGTTGCCGGCATTACCAGTCCGGTGGAGACTGAGAGAGGGCACTAAAACCACAAACACTCATGACTTGAGTGGAGAAGCTGGCCATTGCCAGAACTCCAGTGAAGTCTTTATAAGAGATCTCGAGGCCACTGCCGTTTCAACCTTCGAGGAGGGTTGTAGGGATGACTGGAGCTAGATAAGGATTGTGCTAAAGGGTTAGGATGGTGGATTAGATTCATGTGAAAATTTGAGAATCGGGATGAAATAACGTCAAGGATATAAGGGATATAAAGGTCATGATGTAGGGTTTTGTTTGTGACGTAATAAGGAGCTTTGACTATCATACGGAGGACTTTAGACTGAAAGGATTGGATGCGTTTGATGTTCAAAAATTTAGTTGTTCCACACAGTTCAAGTCCGTAGGTCCAGATGGGTTTGAGTATGGTCTTGTATATTAATAGTTTGTTTTCTATTGATAGATTGGATTTTCTGTTAAGTAGTCTGTATAGCTGCCCAAATCGTCGGTTAAGTTCTTGTCTTTTAAGTCTAGTATGTGGGTTCCAAGTTAGCCTTTTGTCTAAAAGGAATCCAAGATAGTGAACTGTGTCTGAGACGGGGAGAGGTACAGAGTTTAAAAGGATATGTGGACAGGATCTGTGTCGGAGGGTAAAGGTGACATGCTTGCATTTGGATTCATTGATCTTAATGCGCCAATTGTTGCACCATTGCTCAATTAGGGAGATGTGTCTTTGTAGGTTTAAGGATGCTGTTTCAGGATCTAGGTGGGATGACAGGATGGCGGTATCGTCCGCGAAGGTTGCTAGAAGGGTATCGAGATTGGTTGGAATGTCAGCGGTGAAGAGGATGAAGAGGACTGGGCCCAAGACACTGCCTTGTAAAGTCGCCTAATTAAAAGTATTTTTGCAATTTGATTAAAACATCTCAGAAACTAAAAATCCGACCTTCATACTGTATGGGAGGGAAATGTTCAGTATTTCATCCTCTATGTAATGAGCTATAATCGAAAATTGTATCTTAGAACGACACCATGTTAGAGAGACAAAAAGAGAAAAAAATAGTGTAGGAAAGTTTTTCCCTAGTGTCGAAAACCAATAAATAACAAAAATAGTTTATACACAACTAAAATTGTATATATTGTCAATTTTATTACTTTGTGAATATAGGATTAAAAAAATGTATATTTCATATTCATAATATCGCCTTGTTGATGTTTTTAATTCTATCGTGTAGTCTAAACCACACATCTTAGTTTTTCTATATATTTCTTAAACAAATTATTATTATTCAACTATTGACACCTTCATGAACTAGCTTCACTTCTAAGAATGATTTAAGTTCAGTTAAAACAAATTTTTACTTTCAGTTAGAAGCTAAGTTCGTCATCGCTAGAAACTCCCAAGGGTGTAGATGCTAGATGCTTCCTCTAATACTAGTTGTAGCAATCGATTTGGCGTGATATTCGCAAATGAGATACTGAAGAGAACTTGAAGATAAAAGTGGTCTGAATATTAAAATTTCTAATGTTGAAAATTTTAATTTAACCCCCTTGTAATCTTGCAATATGAAATGTCTACAAAAGGATGTATTAAATTCAAAGGTATTAGAAAAGTAAAGAATATTATAGAGGTTACAGCTGCTTTTATAAAAAATAAAATAAATATTGGAAGGGTACTGTTCGGGTTTCTGCCCAAACTTATAAGCCTTAGAGCGACAATGTAACAGATCTATTGACTGTTGTCTGCAATCTTTTTTATCCTGTTGAAATTTAATTGGTAGAACATTGACAGATTAATTAATTAAAGCTACTATTGTCTCATATTTTCTCTTAAAATTAATTAATTCTAAAATTTGGCTGGAGGATTCTGGGAAAGTAAATAATTTAATATAAAAGTACACCTATTAAAAATATATCTATTGTAGAGGTAAAGAACACCATGTGTGTCAGAAGACAATGTTCCATAACTTGATTGAAAATAATGGAAAAAAAAAAGAAGATTTGAAAAACAAAACAAAATTGAAAATTAATTTGTTGTTTAATAGCAGGAATGGCATGCACGTGTGTGATATGGCATTCCTGCAAAATCCCGTGTAGCCGAAAGGCAAGGAAGGGAGGCATAAATAAATAAATAAATAAATAAAATGTTCCATAACTTGAATCTATTACAATTTGTTTCTTAGTTACTAAATCTGTAATCTGGAGGTAAATGACAATGATTCTCATTTTTTGTATTTGTTCAGGAAACCAAATTTCCATCACTTATAGCTTTTAAAATTTTTTTCTTAGTTGCTAAATCAATTAATGAAAAAAAATGGACATGGTGTCGCTAACCTGCGAGGCACAGATATATATTTATTCATTAAGTACTGACCTCTGGGCGTTGTTGTTGGCGGAAGAAATACTACCGGCTAACGCAACAAAGGAAGCACTCTCCCGATCGGCTTCCCTCTCCAGCTGGCTCCCGCTTCCGAGGGACAATGACGCTTCCCCAATACTGGGATTACCGCCCGGGTGGCTGCCTGTATCACCATCTAAGGGTTAATTTTCATTTAATATCAACAAACAAAAAAAAAACAAAAAATATTTATATTTATATTTACATAAGTTAACTAGCCTTATTTTTATGATTCATCATAAAGTAAACAAAAATAAATTGCTCTATTCCTGGAATATACGTGCCATGAATAGTGGTTAGCCACATGTTACATTAAACACAATAATCATGGATTATATAAGCATTTTTATACGCATAAGTCCAAGACAATCCAAAGTAAAAAAGCTGAGAAGAACTGAGAATGACAAATGAAGGAGGTATTAAGAAGGAAAGTAGGAATATATTTATAATAATAATAAGGCTTAGCGAACACGAAGGTTTGATGATGATACCACCAATCTATGTTCACATTCTTCCATCCGCCGAACACTGTCTAAACCCAACCCCGCCAGATAAGCCTCAACGCAATCTTCCCACATTCGCTTTGGTCTACCTCTCGGATGCTTGCCAGTCGGCACAGTGCATATTAATTTTTTTAGGTATTATTTCGTAACTAAGCCCAGTGATTTTATATGCCAATTTTATTTGCCTCAACTTAATCATGTCAATTATATTAACCAAATGCAGTTCACGCAATTCAGTGTTGTGTAACTGCCTTGGTCAACTCATCCTTCTTGGGTCCGAATATTCTGCACAAAAATTTATTTTCAAAAATCATCCCTTCATGTAAGTGAACTAAGTAGTTTTTACAAAAAAAAACAACAAACATTTCCATCTTTCAACCTAACTTTAATATCCTCTTCAATTTCATTTTTTCGAGTTATCCTAGACCCTAGATACCTAAAATTCTGTACGTGTTCAAACACATTCCCTTCTATATCGATATCATCAAAATTGTCACTGTTTTTGCAACTGACCACATATTTTATCTTATTCATATTTATTACGAGTCACATTTATTTACCGGCTTTCATCAATATAGTTGTATTTAGTTTTATTGTTTCTATGTACCAATCATTAACAGTACCAAATCACCATTACACCCAAACACGGATATTGTTCGACCCAAGTTCAAACCTTTTTCAGGATGTATCATATCTTTGTAATGCCAAATTAAATAAGACAAGTGAAAGAACATCACCTTGTTATAAGCCCGAAAGAACCTCAAATTTCTCGGATAAAGAAGAACCTATTCTAGCTTTATTGAATGTTTCGGACATACAAATACTAACTAGATTTACTAATTTTTGGGATCTCTAACTCGATTGGAATATTATACAGCCTCTGGTGGTCAATGGAGTCATAAGCCTTTTTGAAATCTGTATAAAGCTGGTGAACAACACCGTTGTACTGTAATGTTTTCTCTAATATTTGTCGAAATATATATAAAATATAGTAAATATCTTAGGTAGATAAATATCGTAGGCATTGTGTGAAAGTAACAAATGGACAATGTTGGCCAAGTTAACAAGGTTGCAGACAATATTGTGGACTTATTTATTAAAAAGAAAAATATATAAAATAAAATCATTAAATAATTTACACTGATTAAATACATGGCAGAGGAGTTGGGTAGCTCAGTGGTAGGACACTCATCTTCCAAAGCTCAAGGTCCTGGGTTCGAATCCTGGCTCATTACAGACAAATTATTTATTCTGTTTCATTGGCCGTGTGGTGACCCTGAGATTATGAGACTCTTCTGGGACACACCCAGCCTCTATAAAGTGGGTACCCTTAATTAAATAATTAATTAAGAGAGAAAACCTGGCGGTTGAGCGTGATCTCAGTTAAATCACTGTTGACTAAGAAACAGTACTTACCCTAATTAGTACTGAACCAAAGACCCTTCATGGGTTGTATAGCGGTACAGGTTAGTTAAATACATGGCATCTAATCATTGCAAGTGGTGCTCTCTTATGAATAATGCAACCAACACTTTCTCTGTGTTGTAGGGCATGTTATCAACAACAAATTGTTAAGAAAAGAAAATATCTCGGTCCATTTGCTTAAACAATGAGATGAAAGTGATAAAAACCGCTGACCTAGAGATGACTGATCCAGAAAGTTGTATGTAAATAGGTAAAAAGTATATATATGTAAAGGGATATAGTATATATATACAGGTATATAGACTTAGATACCATTAGATCTGTTGGCCAAAACTCCGAGAATGTCGGCCTCGTCGTCGAACTCGAACCTGACCCCGGTGGCAGAGGTGGTGACCCCGCACCCACCGCTGCGGCAGAGGGAGACCGGCACCACGCCGTAGACGTAGAAGAGGAGGATGGGCACGCCGATCCCAACGGCCAAACCCGCCAGGATAGGAGATATCAGCACCTGCAACATCAACATCATTTAATAAAAAGTCTTAGGCTACAAGCAACATCAACATTATTTAACATCATCTTAGGCTATAAGCAACATCAACATTATTCAAGATCACCTTAGTGTATAAGCAACATCAACATTATTTAACATCACCTTAGGGTATAAGCAATATCAACATTATTTAACCAAAATAGGACCTGTCTTGAGAGGTCTTAAAGCTAAAAAACAAAGAAAAAAAAAAACATTATTTAAGGCACTAGCGGATTCAAGATTTAATTTTAGGGGAGGGGGCTCAGCCCAAAAGCTTTTTTCCCCCATTAAATAACGATAATTAATTTGAAAAAAAAGAAAGAAACTAACTACCAATATGAAATGGTGTTTAAGTGATTCTTTTAAAGTTCTTTTAAATGTAATTACATGAATAATAATACTTTAAGAGATAATTTTTAAATATTTTTTTCCATAAATCATGGTTATATTTTACCATTTTTGGGGTAGAGAGGGGGTGCTTCAGCCCCAAAGGCTCCCCCCCCCCTCCGTAAAACGCCAGCGATTTAAGGTAACCTTAAGGTATAAGCAACATCAACATCGTTCATACTAATTCATTCTTATTTAAGAAATGTATTTGGTTAATACAGGACAGTCAATTTAAATCATGTGTCTTTTTTATTTTGTAAGACGAGTTGGATACTCTGTGTTGTATTAGTTTAATTCAATAATACTGTAAAATATATTGTACAATACGAGATAAGATAAAAGTAAACACTAAGGAGCCGGGACCTCTATCGATCGACCAGCGAGCTCCACAGCACTGTATTCACATCACATTACATCACATACAATATTATGGAATACAGCTTCGATAAAGACATTGCCGGCCATCGCCAGTTCCGATCTGCCGTCTTCCTGTCGCTCCTTCAGGATGTTGAGGAGGCTCCCGGGTGGTTGTTGACACATCTTCAAGAGCATTATCGGAGCGGAGAATAACCAGGCTCCAGCTGTGCTCAAATCCTAATTTCACAATAACGAGAAGCCAACATCATTTAAATTAAGCATGGCTATTTCGGGGCAACGTATTCATTGGGTGAAAATAGTAGAGAAAGAATTGGAGGAAGGTTTGGAAAATAGTCGCTACAATCAGATAACGTTAAGTCAACAAGGGTAAGTGCTTAAGGAAGGAAAACGTTTTACAGATGAACAGTTCATTCAAAGTAGCTTTATAAATTTGGAATAGCAAGTCCTAGCAAAAAACAAAGGGGCGGTGTCGACGTGCGGGTTAACGCGTGTACACAGCACGGCGTTCTCCGGCAACCTGATATAACATAATTGGATACAAATAACTACGAGTTCGCGCCTCGGGAATTAATCCCCCCGCTCTTACTCTCTGGCCCGGGAAAACACAGTATAGCCTATAAGTCAAAGAAGGGGAGGAAAAAAAAAGTTTAAAAAATAAAGCTCAGGCATGTATCAAATATCATAAAAAAAGCTCGATTAAATTAAAAATAAAAATATGTAGGTTTAGCCCTGAATGAGTTTCAGGTTTAGTTTTTTTTATATTAAATTTAACTTAAAGGAATTGCATTCCTTCAGGGAAACCTTAACATTTTTCAATATAATATGGATAAATATTTAGATATGATGTACACCATATCCTATACATATATGAGCTTTTCAGTTGACAGAATGACTAACTCCAATTTCAACATTTTTTATTATTAATTTTAGTGATTTTAGTGATATTCTATTGGGAAAATTTATGACTTTATTCACAGTTCTTTATTTCAACACTGCAATCACTAACCCTGGAATCAACTTACTCACTTTCTGTACGTATATAAATTTTCCACCTAGAAATATTACTAAAAAATTTTGACATTAGAGTTAGCCATTCTGTCAACTAAAAGGTTCATATGGTACATCATTCTCTATACACGTATGGTACATCATTCCCAATACATAAATGGTACATCATTCCCAATACATAAATGGTACATCATTCCCAATACATAAATGGTACATCATTCCCTATACACATATGGTACATTCTCCTCTATGCATATATGGTCCATACCCTATGTCATTTCAATTCATCCTAAAAGAGAGCTAGATTTTCCACAGTTAAATTTATACCATCCCTTTGGTTGAAATACGGTATTTAAGATTGTCAAAAAAAAGGGTTGATTTCAGTCTCAGTTTTCACATTTCCGAGCGTTTTTTCTAATTTTTGCGATTCTCCTCATTGAGTAAAATGGTTTGAAATTTGTATGTGCCAGAGAAGTAGTTTTTAGGCAACTAAATTGTTTTTTCCACTACCTTCATTTTGATAAATTAAATTCGAGAAAAAATCCAAATAAAAAAATTCAGCAGTTCAATTACTTATAAATTTCTATTCAATTACTTCCATCAGACTTACAAAGGAAGATGAAAGGTAAATACGACCTCAGTGGCCTAAGATCGTCTAAACTAGCTTTTCTTTTTTTTAAACGAAATTCGTTAAAGACTTTACTTTTTAACGCTAGTTTACATTACATTATGCAACATGTAAAATACAAAGACTGGAACCTTGGACTCGAAGGTTATGGTAAATATGTTTACTACAGTGGCAAATAGAGGGAGAGAGAGGAGTTCTCCCCTCTCCCATTATTCAAAAGAGAAATAACAGATCTGTTTACCGCCGGGAATCGAAAACAGTCTCGGCCAACAGGTCGGGTCGGTTCATACCTCCAGTTGCACAGAACATCATATCGTAAATAAGAGGAAAAGTTATTTGGCGGAGCGGTCAACAATCACACACACATAATACGATAGAGTAATGATGATCAGGTAGCCTACGTTTCGACCTATATTCATCAAGGCTAAAAAGGACTTCAATTTTTTTGTTTTACGAAACATTGTTCGAGTATCCATTGCTTGTTCACTGATTCTAACCGGCCAATTCAATTGGACAGAAACTATTCTTAGAAGATTGTGCCTGATCTGTGAAATTTCGGAACATCTGTGAGATTGACAGAGACGTGTACAAATGAACCTAAAGGCCAAGTTCTGATCCAAAGAGAAGTAAAAAAAAACCGCCGAAGATGGCACTGGTGTGCAGCAGGGAGGTAATCTCCCTCCCCATATAGTCCAGTAGTCCAAAGAAAAAAATATTTCATATTTCATGCTAAGCTTTGTCCTTAGAAATTGATCATATCCACAGGTCTGATGAAAAAATTGCACGTCTGTCAGCAAATAGCCGCTGGAAAATGGCGGCCAGGTGAAGATAGATTGAGACCCTGCATAGGTTGTAAGGGTAAATATAGACAGGGATTATAGATATATAAAGCTACCAACCCTTTCAATTCATAGTATTTACAGCCTTAAGACATGAAATCATAGTCAGTTATCCCATACCCGTGGATTTTGAAGTCGAAAAATTGAGTTTACGATTCAAAAAGTTTACTTTCGCTATAAGTTCGGTTTTTCGCTTATATCAGGGAAACTAAGCGTTTTATCTATAACAGTGTGATATGTAAAATTAGAGCTGACAAAATTTTCAATAGAAATGGCAATATTAGTTTTTTCTCTATATTCTTCGAACTTCGAAATGTTTGCACTGCATTTTTAAAATTATTTGATTCTCCAAATCTCAATCTTTCCATTTTATGAAAAAGTCATAATGAAGAAAGTTGTTTAATATTAAATTTTCTTTAAGAATATATATATGTAGATATTACTTTACTATCTTATCCTCAACAATTCAATGGTTAGAGCAATTATAACTTAATTAAACATGGACACTAAACAGAATAACTTACTTTTGCAATTTTCGTTATTACACAGCTCTTAATCTGTATATGAGACAGTATATATATATGTAAGCCAATGTTTACACATGTTTGTTGTCTTATATACAGATTAAGAGCTATGTAATAGCGGAGAAATTGGCCACGAATAAATGATTAAACAAATTACGGCCTACAAAGAGTAAAAGATCGACCCACACAGCAGAAACTGTGTCGATTGTAAGTGATTCCCCAAAGTAGAGGTTCAAATACTTGTAGACCATAATAACCTCAATAAATGACAAACGATAAAAGAGCTGTCTTCAATCATTTAAGTAGCGATAGCAGTTCTGTATTTAATATATTGTTTCATACATTAAAATGTATTTCGAAGATTTAACGCCTCGATAAGGCTGATATTATCAATGACGTGGTCTAATCACCCTCCCCTCCTTCCCTCCCTCTCTGGCAGACTGTTTACAATTCTTTATCAAGTCGATAGATGCTCCCCTCCCCCGCTCCCCACGACCCGTGGTGGGGATGCCCCTCCCTCCTCCACCGCCCGAGCACCAGCACCAGTACCATGTCGGACAGCTCCGAGGACGAGGACTGGCCGGTGAGCTCTGATTGGCTGGCCGGGGTGCTCTCCGACTACCACCGCAGCCCCGTCGCCGTCGACTCCTACAGGCTGGCCCAGGCCGAGTCCGCCCTCTCCGACATCCTCTTCGTCAGCGTCGTCTACCGCCCCCCGGGAGCCTCCGGGCCGCAGGAGAAGGACCTCGTCCTCAAGCTCCTCCCGAGGGACCCCTTCTCCAGGTTCTTCGTGTCCGAGGCCCAGTTCGACCTCAGGGAGATCAACTTCTACACCAAGGTAACTCCTGCCAATCGATATCTCTTATCACCTCCCCCCGGAGGAGCCCGGTCCTGTCGAGCCACGAGCACTGTTCGCCCTTAACGATGTTATCATATGCTCAGGAACAATCGACGGCAGACGTACGTAAGAAGCCGATATTGTACGGACTACCAGACCCGAACTAAACCGTACAGACTAGTCCTAATTGCCCGGGTTCAGAAGGTCCGTAAGCTGAAGTATATAAAATAGAGGCCGGTATTCAGAGTCTCAAAATTCTTTAAAGTGTTAAAATTATTATATGGCAAATTATTATTGGGTAATTAAGTTTGTGTAATTTTAAAATTCGGATGTAAATTAAATTAAAAGTAAAATTAGGATGTCGATTACAGCGGCCT